GCCCCGCCCCGGCCCGGCCCGGGACCCCCGCTACCTCGGCCAAGTAGTGCGGCCGAGGCGGCGCGCCCTTGAGGTCCAGGTGCACCAGGCGCCGCGGCAGCGGGCAGCGGGGCATGGCGGCGGGATGCGGCCGGGTGCGATTGTGGCACCGCGGAGGTTAACTGCGCGCCCCGCCCCCCCCGCGCGATCGATCGCTCTGCCTTGGATTAGTCCCGCCTGTCCTGCCGTCGCCGCCGCCGCGGGTTGCTCGGGTCTGTCCCGCTGGCCGCTCCCTCTCCGCCATCAATTGCTCAGGCCTGCCCGGCTCCAGCGCTCTTCCGGCCGGATGCTGCCGGCTCTCGAGCTCCGGGATGGATTGCTCCTCCCTGCCTTCCCCAGGCCGAGCTGTAGCTGCCCGAGCGCGTCGCTCAGCCTGACCGCGGTTCTTGGCACGTGTCCGCACCGCCCACTTCCGGCTACCCAGTTACTCTGCAGGGGCCGCGCTCCCCGCCCCTTCCTGGCGGTTTGTCTCCAGAGACGAGCTGCTCCCTCCTCAGTGGTCTCCCTCTTAGGGGGCGGAGAGATTCCTCGATGGCCGCGGCCCACGATGGCCCTGTGCGCTGCCGAGAGGTTCGTGTCGTGCAGCTGCGGATGGAGGTGGAAGCGGAAGGCACTGACGGCCCGGAGAGGGGTGCTCCCACCGGGACTGAGCAGTCCTTCTGGCTGCCGGAGTTCGGCGTGTCCGGGGTGGAAGAGGCCGCTGGACCCGTTGGTGGATGACCGTGGCACTGAAGAGGTTTGGCTTTCCCGAGGGCAGCATTGAGCTCTGTGCAGAAAAGGTAACTGTGACTAGAGGCCTGTGCGCTGTTGCCCCCATGGAGTCACAGCGTCGCCAACTTCTGGGAAGCTTAGCGGTACGCTGAGCCTGCGAGGGTGTCCCCTGCTTCGTCACAAGGGTGGCGCCAGAGTTGTCTGGCAAACACCGAGGCTAGAAGAGTCAAGTCTGTGAAGTTTATGGAGAACCTGATGATCTGCATTGGAGACCCTGGAAACTACTACGTCGATACAGCTGCGCGCCACGTCCTTCTCAGAAGCATCAAAGTAAAGATCATGCTGCCTTGGGACCTGCAAGAAGCCCCTGCAAGGGGAGATCTTGCCCATTGCCCTCGTTCCAGAGCAGAGAGGTGGCAGCCAGAGCAGCCAGCCATGGTTTGGCCAGTTTGCACAGCCACGAGGGTTTGTCGGCACCTGGAGTGAGAAGCTTGACTGCATACGGTGGAAGTGTCTTAATAAAATGATAAAAGGCCAGTCCTTAAGGTGTAGGAATGAGTGAAATGAATGAAAAGTCAAAGCTGGCTTTTTTTTAGGTGTGGCTCAAGTCAGATGTGGGGACGTAGAGTCTAAATGGGTTGAGAGTCACTGTCTGGGTATGATACGTATTAAGTAGAGTTAGCAGCCTTGAGTCCTGTGACAAGATGTCATCTTGCTGCTGCAGATGTGTGGTTCCAGTGTTGTTTCTGGTGTCTGTGACTTTTCCATACAGCAACAGCAGTCAGTGCTGTGTAAAACTAACAAGGGTCTGATCAGTTTTCTGGTTTCTGTTCAGAATCCTGTGGGGGCAGAGAAACTGTTAAGAACCAGTCCAGACTCTGAGGTGTTTCCAAACTAATTGGGTAAGACCAAGGATGTATATCCCCATTTTACACAGGGGGAGCTGAGATGCAGGAAGATCATGCAACTAACCTAGCATCACGCAGAGTTTATCAGAGTATTGTAGATGCATCCCTCTGGTCTTTGTTTTCAGGGAGACACACGTGGTATCTGATACATTTCTGGTGTGATGTATCAAATGAACTCTATGCTTGGTTAAGTCTTGTCTTTTTCTCAGTTCCCACACAGGGGTGCTGTTGAGATGTTTATGGAAACCCCTCTCACACTTTATTAGGACAGTTGCAGAGGTTGCTGGTGGTTTTGTGGGTAGGTTAATGATTCAGTACAAGGAAGATTATTGTACTCTGCAAAATCGTATTCGGCTCCAGATTTCTAAGCCAGAGGTATAACATGCTATTTTGGTGCCCTGGGCAGAGGGGAGTTGGGGGCAGGTTGGCAGGGAGGGAATCTTGCTGAGCATGGGTAAATGGGGTGGCAGGGCCAGGCAGAATCTTACCTGCAGGGCTGTGGGCTCAGCCAGGGGCTGTTCTCAGCATGGGCTTGCCTAGTTAACTCTGGCCTTGCAGACCTGAGGCAGGAGCCCCCTTTGTCAGCCTCATTCCCCCTTCCTTTGTGTGGTTCACAGCACTGAGTTTACAGTTGCTGCCAACTTATATGTAGGATGTGGCTGGGTGCCAGACACCTGCTGCTGCCATTCTGGTGCCCCTCCACCTCCATTCCTGCACACCTGCTAGGCAGTGTCTGGGGCCGATTCCTTTGGTTGCCTACCCCTGGTTATGCTGCTATGTGGAGCAGTCAGTTGGCAACTGCCTGGTGTCCCCATAAACAGTGCTAACCATAAAGCCCATTGTTCCTGCAGCCACCCTCCTTCCAGCTGAAGAAAATGAGCTCCAGGATGGAGCTCCTGTCCTTAATGCCATTTAGCTAAATAGCTGAGTGACATGAGGGCATTTCCAGCCTCCTCCTCTTTAGGCTGATCTCACTGCTTTCCAAAGGCTGCCCACTGCTGCTGTTAAAAAAAGGACAGAATCCAGTTTTCCAATAGGAAAAAAAAATACAATTACTTTACAAGGAGAAACTTGTCAAAGAAATAGAATAAGAATTCCTCAGGTAGGTTTAAACAGCTAGAAGTTCTGGCCTTCTGAATCCAGTGAAGCCTTGCATAATAATTACAAATTTGTCTGTCTCACCAAGTAGTCAAAGTCTTCTGGGTTGTTTCAGACTAGGTGGTTTTAGAGAAGGGAGAGGAGTGTGTTTATTTCTTCCTTCTAGCAGGAATCACTTTTCCTGCCACAGTTAATTGATAACATAATAATTTTGTTAGCTGCATCTGTACTTCCTCCTGGTTTTACTGCCAGCCTAATTGAAAAGGACAGGATAGTTGGTACTTGTTTTGATCAGGTTTTGGAGAAGTGGTTCAAGGAAAACTGGCGCTGTCCAGGAATAAATGATGAGGCAGAAATTACCTTGCATAAGTGCTAGTTCTGAAAAGCAAAGCTGCCAGATGGTATCTACATTCTGTCTTTAAAATGCAAGAGCCAAACAAAAGATAAGATTTTAACTCTTAGTTTTGCTCCAACTTATTTTATTTTGTATTTATGATTAGGCCAAAGTCCAAACAGAACATAACTTTGAGCTGTTTGAGGCTAATGCTCTTGGAGCATGTACTACAAGGAAAATGAATGATCATCTTCTGTTATAGTTCTGCAAGCATGTGTAATTCCATGCCTGAAAGTTAACGGGAACACTTGTAAATAAGCCCTTTTTTTTGCAAAGTTCCATTAAGATTCCTGTAATGATGCAAATAACATTTAACCTTCAGATGCTAGCTTAGACATGTCAGTGTGGTTTCTGCATCCAGTCTAGTACACCATAGTTTGCAGTTTTAGCACTTACACTGGTTATTCTTTCACATGCTGGATCAACAGCAACAGACCATGAGAGGAAAGCTTCTGTGTCTGAATACTGAGTCATTTTCATTGCTTTCAAAGCAGCTAAATACTGCTTTCATTTATGCAGTAATTGGTATCAAACTGCAGGGAGTTTAGTTGCAGACTGTTGCTTGCTAGTGAATCAGCTTCATGGAGTTCGGGGCATTGCCAGTCAGAGGCTGATGGCTTTGCATTCTCTACTGGAGAAGAGAAGATACTGTGGTGTGATGTGATTGCCATCTGTGGTCTGCATTTCAAGTCTTGCATACAGAAGCCTCTACTGATGTTTCCCCCTAAAAGCATGCTTTCTCTCCTACAACTATACAGTGATCATTGCTCCTTAAGTACCAAAGAGGTTTTCTCCACAGTGGGTGAGTGGGTGAAAGAACCTCCTCCCAGTGTTACCATTGCCATCTGGGATACCTTCCTTTTCTCCCTGCAGTAATTTGTCATCTGCCCTCTCTTCAGTTCATTTTCAAGACCCATCTATTACCCCATCATGTGCCTTCTAAGCCCAGCCTCAGGTGGGACAGTCAAATTCTGCTTACTGCTTTTCCTGGATTCATGCCCCATCTTCATCAGTGTTGATGCTTCTGCACGTCTATACGGATCATGCTGTTAACAGTCGCATCCTTAGTAGTTTAGGCCAGAAGTTCTGGAAACCAGAATTCGGTTCCATTTCTCCTTCGTCAGAAAGTCCCAGCAGTGCAGAATTCCAGCACCTTTTATGACAGGGCAGGCAAAACTGTTGCCTAGTGGGTCTTTAATGGTTGCAGAAGTCTTGAAAACTTTCCTAGAGAGTGTCCTAGAAAGTAAAAACCCTGAATTTATTACTTAAGTGCATGATGACTTCTCTGTCCTGGCTCTTGAATAATAGAGGTTGGCAACACTTCTGGACACATGTTTGTGACTCATACTGTGGCTTCAGGTTGTCACCTCTATGATATCTTCAGTCCATAGTTCCTTTTTTTCTGGTGGAAGGCACTTGAATTTCCTTTGAATGGCAGCTTTGGAAGTGCCAGTGGGGCAGTTGCTGTGTTTCATTTGTGTTTCAGTGTAGGGTGTTTTGTACTTGCAGTACTACACCTCCTTTATTTTAGATGGCTAATTACCTTGCTCTTCTGTGAAATGATTCCCAGGGACTTGCCCACCCCCCTGGAGTTTGACTGTCTAGTTGCCTTTGGTAATGTGTTGCTGAATGCTTAGTGCTCTCAGTGAGTTGTTTTGGTTTGTAATCTGGTCGGATTGTCTTTCCCATGGATTTCTTAAGTGACCTTGCCTGCTATATTTTTATCTCTCGTGACTTAGGAGAAAAAATAATTATTCAGACATTGGAAGGAGAGATTATAGGCTTGGTGTCATTTGGGGTGGCTGAGCCATGAGGATCACTTTTAGGAGTAACTGAGGTCTGTGATTAGCCTCCCTGGGGAAGAGATTGAAGATGAAAGGGAGAGA